CGGTAAGGAGAAAGGCTAGTTACGGTGAATGGCTGGTGAAAAGGCTAGTCGTTGAGCGCGGTCGTAGGAGCCATGAGGCAGTGGCTACGCCAGAAGCCCAGTGAGTCGGACCGTAACACGACCACCGGCGAGTCCAGGCGCGGTGCCCCAGTGAGTCGGGTGTGAGAGCGCCGGAGAGCCGAGGCAGTCGTGCCTGGCGCAGCCTGCCGATGTCTCCGAAGACCGAGCGCTGGCGACGAAGCCTGCTGGCTGAAGTTGCTTGCTGTGTGGCTTGATTGTAGACTGCAGTCGGACTGAATTGAACTGAATAACTCGGCTTTGGAATCGCTCCTTTTTATACGCTGGTCGGTGGGGTGGAGCCAAACTCGAAAGTGAGGAGGCAGAATTGATTGGCTAGCGCGCGTAATGACGTAGATGCGGGCCAGGAGCGATCCCAGTATAAATATGAACGTTTGAAGCAATCTGGTTGGTTAGCGCGCGTGATGGTGAAAAAGTGATGTGAAGAGCGAGCGTTGCAGAAATGCGTGATAATGTGGGATGTTCCCACAAAGTGTTAATTAGAGTCAGTGAGCAGAGGAATATCCTACACGAAATAAGAAAACGGAAGGCTAATTTGATTTGTCATATTTTACGCAGAAACTGCCTTCTAAAATAAGTTATCGAAGGAAAGATAGAGGGACGGATAGACGAGGAAGAAGACGTAAGAAGATGCTGGATGACCTTAGGGACAGAAGAGGATACTGTCATTTGAAGGAGAAAGCTCTAGATCACATTAAATGGAGGAATTGTTTTGGAAGAGACTGTAGACCTGTCGTCTTGACAGATTACTGATGATGATGATGATGATGAAAACCGATCTAAACTGCGCAGTTGACATAGTTTATCGCTCAGACATGACGTCACACGTGATAAACTGCACAGATAAACTGAAGGCGTGTAGCCCTGAATGTGGTAGGACGCAGTGGTGGCCTGTTTGAAAGAACTACCCCAATATTTGCATGACGGGACAGGAATAACATGGAGATTCTCAGGTATTAGTATGGGCGGAGATTCTAAGCTGAGGTTTCCCGAATATGAAGCATAGGTTTTAACCATTACAATGGAGGTTTTAGTGTAGGAAAAGCGTTGTATGTAAAACTATAATTCACACTCTCCTTTCATTCAACCTATTTTGAATAAAGGCATAATCTTTTCGTCGTGTAAGCACGTTATATGACAAATACATAAAGCGAAAATGTGCGCTTGTTCATACTCTTCTCTCTCCACACTCCTTTACAATTTTGGCCCCTTACTGAGCAATTTTCTCATCATGCTGTGCTTCCGTCATCAGCAGTGACATGCAACGAGAATTTACCCACTTATATAATAACGTTCGTGAATTAATGCTGAAGGACGGAATAATTTCGTGTTACCAATTTAAGTTTTAATATTATTATGGCAGTGGAAGTTGTATGGTGAGGCAGCACATCATCACTTCTAAACCATGTAAGGGATGACTTTATTTACTTTCTTTCTTGCGCATTTATTTAAGATTGTTTTATTTTATGTCTCCTGATGCAGATTCGCTTTATATTCAGAAGGAAAATTTGGAAATAGGCTCATATTAGCTTCATCACATTTAGTATGTCTGCATGTAAAAACTCAAGGACCGCCGAACGGATTTTCATGAAATGTGATACTGAGTGTTTTCACAAGAAGATTTAATTAGATTCCTATTTTAGCTAAAATCAGTAACAACAACAGGTATTTTACATGAGGGCCTATTCATATTTCAGCATGCATCTCAAGCTTAAATAGTTGTCGAGGTAAAACACATTTCAAATAAAATTTCCAAAAAAATGAAACCTTCTGAAACTTTCCCATAAATCTTGCGGCTTTCGAAATAGTTAACATATGGGATTTTATATTGCCATTTTTAAATTCGAAAACCGCTAAAGGTTTATCGGATTCTACATCTGATGTCCTTGCACAGATTTGTCAAAACAAATTGTTTTACACGTCTTATGCTAGTTCTTGCCAGTTTTACATTTTCATGTTGAATTGTTTAATATTCACAGTTGCACATATAAAAATACTGTTGAGGAAATTATCCAGAAGTAGAGGCAATACTGTGAAACGTCCTGCACTTCCAGCTTTTCGTTTAATTTGATCCCATTTAAAAGATGTGTAGGTTGATATACAAGCACTGGACTTTGGGAGGTCAGACTCGAATCTCGGCCTTATTGCAGGGAATCTGGACTGAGTAGGTTTGTGGCTTTTCTTACTATCCATACCAATACCGGAGAGGTATCCTGAAGTAGACAACGGCTGCCTCCTTAAAAATTCTAACCTTGTGACAATTCGTAATATTTTCCCAGCTTATTCGACTTCTTAAGCCTTTGAGGATGTAAGACTGTCAATGAAACACAATAGAAAACATACCAAAAAAAAAGAGGACTTATGCAGCAGTACCTCTGTCTAGTATTCAGATGGTATTACGGTTTCTTGACGTTTTCCCCATTATCTCGTGCAAATGATGGTACAGTTCCTTGAACCATACAATGACCACATCTTCCCAAATTACTATTCAGGATCATCTTCTCACTTTATTTTACACAACACTGGGGAATGCAAAATTGTTTTTGTAGAATGAGCCATTTTTCAGACCCAAGTAAACAAAAGCATTATAAAAGAAATCATGCCCATACTTAGGATGATACTGAATCAAAACTATTTTCAATATAACGAAAAATATTACAAACCAAGATCTGGCATAGCCATTGGCTGGCCCCTATCAAGTACTATGGCAGAAATCTTCCTACAAGACCTAGAACAAAACAGAATAAAACATCTGCTGGAAAATGAAAAAAATTAAATACTATAATAGATACGTAGATGTCATCTTCATAATATATAATCAGACAAAATTAACCCCACAATGCCTCCTCGAACACTTCGATGCACAACATAAAACTTGCAGTTTACAATAAATGAGGAAATAAACAACCAAATAGCCTACTTAGACTTAAACCTATTTAACAGACAAGGACAAATAGAAATAGAAATATACAGAAAACCCACAATGACAGACATAACAATAAATAATAAATGATGCCACCCTAAAGATAAAAAATTAGCAGCATACAAAAATTGGATACACAGACTTCTCACACTACCCCTCGAGGAAAATGCTAAAACAAAGAGTTAAATAATGTTATTAATATAGCACTAAATAATGGCTATATAAAGGAAGACATCATACAACTACATAACAAACTTAAACAAAAGATAAGTTATCCAAATAATAAAGCCTGAAAAGGAACAAAAATGGGTCACATTTACCTACACAGGAAATTACATACAAAAAATCACAAAACTATTCAAAAACACCAACATAAAGATAGCCTTCAAAACAACCCACACAATAGGTAAACTAATAAATGAAAAACGAGAAACAAACCCCTACGAACAAAGTGGATATACAAAATAATATGCCAAAGCTGCCAAAAAGTATACATCGGCCAAACTAGTAGAAATCTAACGAGGTAGAAAGAACACATAAGAAACATAAGACTAAACAAAGATGAATCAGCATTTGCCCAACATATACTAAACAAACGCCATCAGTAATGGCAGTAATCATGGAAATGATTGAGAAAGCCAAAAAAGGAAGCATCATGAATATAAAAAAAGACTTCCATATATATATATATCACTTTAATAAACTCAACAAATTGATAGAAGAACAAAAACACACAAAAGAAAGTAATAACCAACATAACATGTTCCACTTCATAATACAACATGAGAACACTCCCAAATTAACATCACAGACACATGAAGTATAAATACGAGGGGCAACACACCCTAGAACAGTAAAAACAATACAGCACACGACAAACAATCACAGGATGATATCAAAGATAGGATGAAGAAACAAACTCCTTAAAAAAATATATATATAATAGGGTTGCTGAAATAATATAATACCCATAATATATTTGCAGAACCTCCTTCTCAAGAAAGACAGGCCCCCGTCAAGAAAGGCGATAAGAGAAGGGACAGGAACCTATTTGGTTTATAAATTTTTACTTTAACAACAAGAGTTTTAAAAAACTTTAATATACCAAGACAACCGCTGTAGTTGTGAAAACTTTGGATTTTGTATATATTGTGCATTACAAACATTGTATGTGTATATATTTTAACATTCAGAACACCCACTGTAATAGTGGTTTCCAAAGAGTATCGATGTCCTTCTGATGATGGTCTATAGGGACCGAAACATGTAAGGGTGTTAAGAATTGTAGTAGTAAAAACTTCAACAGTCACACTGGATGGAGTTGTTTTATCATTTATAACAAGTAATTTTTCCTTCTTGAGAATCTATTAACAGCTGGTCAGTTAATTAAGAAAATCCTAGCCTTTTATGGAACCCAAAGGTTCATTACAGTATCCACAAGATCTTACCAATGGTACCTAGCCTAAGCCAGATGAATCCAGTCAATGCACTCTCCTACTGGTTTTCAGATCCATTTTAATACTATCCTCCCATGTATGACTATGTCATCCAAGTGGTCCCTTCCCTTATGGTTTTCCAACCAAGGTCAGAAAATTGAAAATTACATGTACTGCTAACAGTGTGAAAGTTTGGAGTGTAATGAAATTATGCACGTGGACCTTTGAACATTATTGTAATAAGGTGCCCTTAAATCCTTAATTTGAATTCTCATTCAAATACTATCATAAGTATAACCAAACATCCCTTTATTCAGTTATTATTATAAAGTTAAAAAGTATAACGTCCTATGCTGAGGTCATAAATGTCTGGAACTAAGAAAACCAAGTAGGAGATTAAATGAATAAAACAAAAATATAACCAAGCAAGGAAGAGCCCTTCTCATCAAAGAACTTTGACCCACTATCAGTACCCAAACCATCACAGAGATATTCAAATTCAGCATGGAATACTTTAACTGAAAGTTGTCAAGCTCCATTTTCAGCCACATTCATGCACATAGAAGCTTGGTTTATGTTAGATTATACATGAAAATATTCCTTTAACAGCTTCATAGATTTTGTCAAAATTCGATATAGGAGACTTCTTGCAGTTTACATGGGCCATAATTGTAATTTCCAAGCATCCCATACAGTGTTTCACAGATTGTGTTAAAATTTATTATGGGAGATTTCCAATATTTATTCATAAGAGGATGAGGTTAAAAACTGTAAGTGTTGTTTTCCATGCATCCCGTACAAAGTTTCATATTTTGACGAAAACTGATATGAGAGACTTTCACGAAATATTGTTGGGAAATTCTGATTTTCAGCCATATTGATCAATAACATAGTCTTGTTTAAATAAGGTCATGACTGGACTTTTCCATATATCCCACAAACTTTTCGCAGATTTTGTTTAAATTCAATATGGAAACTTTCATTAATGTTATTAAACTTCAAAGAACACCACTGATAGTGCTACTGTACAATAAATACAGTATACACTTTCCAGTCTTCTTTAATAACACACATATTTTCGCATTTTAATAGGTGCAAAACTATGGGAACTTGGCTATCACTACTTTTCCTCTTTGGATGGAAAACAGATGATATTTCTGCTGCCAAGATTCTGGGCCTGATGCCAACACCTTCTCCGAGTCACCACATCTGGAACCGCGCCCTCATGTTGGCCCTTGCTGAGCGAGGCCACGAGGTCACCGTTATTAGTCCTGATCCAGAGAAGCACCCAGTTGCTAACTATACAGATATTGTTATTGAAGAAGCCTACGAGAGAATAAATGATTCCGGATTTAATTATGAATCTATGAGTACTCAAACCTTCATTGAAAATTCACTCATTTGGTTTCAGTGGGGTCAGGATGCATGTGAATTTGGAATAGCTTCTAAAGGAGCAAAGAAACTAATGGCATTACAGGGAAAAGAAACATTTGATGTGATTATTATAGATCTGGGAGTTGAAGAATGCTTTTTGGGGTTTGTCCCATTATTCAATAACCCACCTGTGATTGCGATCACGGCTTATGGAAGTCCACCTTGGTTTAATACCATAGTGGGTAACCCACAAATTCTGTCTTTCACTAGCTCATATATATTGCCATTTACAGATCATATGACATTTCTTCAGAGAATGGTCAATTTTGTGCTTCACAATGTTATCGTTTATTATCGAACTTTCCACCACTTACCAAATATGGATAACATTGCTCAGAAATATTTTGGAAATTCTGCACCCTTACCTAGTGAAATTGAGAAGAATATCAGTTTAGTGATGGTCAACACACACTTCAGCGTGGATTTTCCAAGACCTCTGGTGCCAGCAATGATACCAGTTGGAGGAATGCATATTAAACCAGGAAAAGAACTGCCAAGTGTAAGTAAATATTAAATAGTATCTCTCATGGTTGCACTTTGTTTATTGTACCAGTAGGTTTTTTACTCTATCATTAATTAGAAAAAATGTATTTTGGCCCTGCAAGATTAATTGCCATATGATACTGCTCAGTCCTTAATTCTGAAATGTCTTCATTTTCTTTATTGTCCATTCTTATGTACTTGTATATTGCAATCCATTTCATGAATTCAATCTGGGATGCTATGATTCAAATTTATCCTTGCCGTTCAATGCCCAAGTCTTGTGAAACTAACTACCAGAGTGTTTGTGAGCTACTGCATTACAAATTCTTTATTTTTTAAAGTTTCTTGCACATCGCTTCCTGTGCAGAATCATCCAGATATCTGTACATTAATGTATTTATATTGTGACATGTTGCGCACCAGAGGACCCCCACCTCCCCAGCGGTATGTGGCGGTAACATAGCGCTCTCGTTACTATGGTAATAGGTGAGTCATTGCCCCGCCACTCTCCCCACGGTGATGTAACGCGCAATGCGCGGTGACGCAACACGACGACATGGCACCGGTTCCTACTGTGACGTGGCACGCAACAACGCTGTTGACGCAGGCAGCAGGTAACAGCGAATGGAATAAAAGCCGGCTAAGCAGCAAGCGAGAGCCAGTGTGTGATCAACAGTTCTCAAGGCAGCAGCCTACGAGTTGAGTTGAAATATAGCCGTCGACGGAGACAGTAAAAGTGTGATAATCAGTGACAGTTTGTGATAACTGAGAATTAATTGGAAGTGTGTGTAGTTGTGTAATTGGGAGTGTGTGATACAGGGACACTTACATAGCTCCCGTACTGTAAACGTGTAGACTACTTTAGACAGAGTGAATTGATTTGCGAATAGGGTTAAAAATCGTGAAACCCCGCAAACAGTGTAAACAGATTATTGCGATTAGGATTATAAAGTGTGAAACCCCACAACTGTGTGATAATTAATTGTAGTCGTTACTTGTAGGTTGTTAATAAACCAATTAACAATCCGAACGGCATATTCAGTAACGAAACACGTTACAATATAATGGGTACAATGTTGTTAAGAGACGTACCAATGAACCGTAATAAAGGCTACAAGAAAGATAACTGTTCACATATATAAAAATAACATTTATTGCACATTATAGAGCCCAAAAAATGAACAGAATTGATGAAGTCACGTTATATGGAACCTTGGCTGTAATTAAAACCAGGTGTCTTCCAAATGGAAGTCTGATATATTAGTGCTCAACCAACTTACTTGGTCTATCTTCTGATCTACCAGCTGACTGATTTATACATACATTCATACATAGGCTACATACTACTACTACTACTACTACTATTATTACTACTACTGCTGCTGCTGCTAATACTACTGATGAGCGCTGTTATCTTAAATAAGGGGAAAGTAAGACTACACTAAACATATCTGATTTGTCATTTAATAGTTATATAATAAATAATGACACACTCTTCAGTGAATCAATTGCATTTGATTTCAGGATTTGAAAAATTTTCTGGATAACGCCAACAATGGTGCTATATTCTTTAGCCTTGGTACAAACGTCAGGAGTGACAAGATGTCAGCTGTAAAGTTAAAAGCATTTTTAGATGCATTTTCAGAGTTGCCTCAAAGAGTTTTGTGGAAATGGGAGTCAGACACATTACCGGGTCAACCCAAGAATGTGATGCTGGGAAAATGGCTGCCTCAGAACGATATTCTAGGTACTGTATAATATTAAGAACATCGAATTAACAAATATATGATAAAATCTTAGGGCAAGCAAAACTGATGCCAAAGCTAACAGTACAACATATTTCATAGCCAGCTGAATTCAGTTTGCATCCTCACACTAAATTTAATTCTCCATTTTAATATCCTCTCACTTCCGCTTCCTCCTCCTCCTTAACATTTTTCTCCGGTGTACCTCATCATCATTATCATCAGCATCACCACCACCACCACCACAATCACCACAATTACCATTGTTGTTACAGTTTTTTATCATTCTTGTTACTGGTGTCCCATATATACAGAATGAAATTTCCCTGTGTTTCCTATGTCCTATGTGGACACAATAATATTATGAATTTCCCCATAATCTTGCTAATCTGTATTAGCCTTTTCTGTTAAAGTGATATGCAATTATTGTAGCAAGGTCTTTGATGAGATTTGAAACCTCATTCCCTGTCTCAAATTTTGAATGAAATGAGTAGGTGTATACTTGGATACCTTATTTTGAGTGTTATGTTTTATTTTATGTCTTAACTAATACATGGTGACATATCTGGCGAAACCCGGAATAGTTTAATCAGAAGAAACCTCCATTACTAGTTTAGGGAACCATGAACGGTTATGCAACAATGGAATACGTCACGCAACGTAACTAATGGGAGCGCTTCTGAGAATGGCGATTTCTATGTGGTCCGCACCAATAGCTACATCATGCAATAGAGAAGAACTGGAAGAGATTATGTTTTCTGTTGGGTCCGCTTAGAGGCTGGTCTTTTACCTCAGCAGAATCTTGGCACAAACACTGACTGGCTGACTGACCTTCGGTTGTAATATAACTTTGACTTTGACTTTAACTTGTAATCGAAAGAAGAGATTGAGAGAAGTATAAGTTTAGCTGTTGCAGTTAATGTATGTTAGTGAGAAAAATGAACAGCATGGTGAACTTGAGTTTACACCAAGATGGCGGATGTCCCAATACCGGGATTCTGAAAATACTGGACACAGAAATTAGCAGCGTTAAAATCTAAATGTCATGCCATCATGAACAAATACCCAGAAGCAGCTTCTGTCATTGAGTACAATTTTTCCGGATGCACACTGGCTAAAGTGGGAGAAATCTCTCAGTAGACCACTGCTGTGAATAGCGCGGAAGAAAATGGCAAATAATTTCAAAGCTCTAGGTGGGAAGCTACTTTTAGTGCTCTTTACGGCATGCAGACAGTAATACTGACTGAACTGAGGGCCGTCCTGAAGGTGAGTGCACAGGCAGGACAAAGTGGTGTAGTGATAACTTACAGTCTTGTTTTCCATTAATAATGCAACAATATTAATTTAGCAACACTAATTCACACTTAATTTACTAGATGTTCTTAAACGTTTAAAATGTCAATAAAATTATTAAGAATATTGTCACATGTTAGGAATCCAGAAGGGTTACTTCTATGGAAACGCTAGAACAAACCGTTGCATAGGAAGTAACAATAGCGATATTGTAATTCTAACAGTGAGCGGTTGCATAGAGAACGCCGAATCTCCCCGGAGATGAGTCTCCACGGTTATAACGACTGTCTATTGCATAGCAGCGGCTGAGGTTATAGAAAGGGTTGAAGGCATTTGCCAAGTCAGTTGGAACCTAGACGCAATATGATATAGAAAAAAAGACAGCAAGAAGTCAGTCTTGGAATAGCCGCCGCCAGAGACAGTTGAGAGCCAACCAAGGCGAAGGATAGTTGAGACGTCGCATTGGAATACTGGTTCAGAAGTCAAGTGATGTTGCAAATGATAATAATTGTAATGTGTGTAAGTGTGAGTGTCCAATAAAGATTTGCTAAACCCGAGACCCACGTAAAGTTATTTGTCGCGTGACATACCCAACACGTGACATTATATATGAGTACATACAATGTTTGTGCTACCTGTTTCAGCCACATAAGGCCATCTTCAGAAAACACATTTTTTTAAAGGAGTCTACTGCACCGTTCACTTGGTCAAATAGAATTCCTTAAGGCACATCATTGTTGTTGTTGTTGTTATTATTATTATTATTATTATTATTATTATTATCATCATCATCATCATCATTTTGAATTCTGATATTCCTTGTACAAGGAACACAAAGCAACACTAGATACCCACCACTAAGCTAGCGACACACCCAGTGGGACACGAAAACAGCCGCAATATATGCTCGTAAGATAGAAAGAAAATCATCCTACAATATCAGCACCACTTTTCAATGTGTGAGGCTTACGGACCATGTAACATTAAATTTCAATAACAATATGTCTATGGTTGAGGTATTCTTGCATATTGAAGAAACCTTTCATAAAACATGGCACCTTGGCTTGCTGTATAAATTATCTAAATTAAAATTTTCTGTAAATCTAATGAAGGTTATTAGCTTTTTTCTATCTCAGAGAAAATTCAGAGTCTCGGTCGAAGGTGAAATGTCCACCCCAAGGGATATACAAGCAGGGGTGCCAAAAAGTTCCATCATCTCCCCCACACTGTACAATGTATATAAATGATACTCTCCAAACCACTTGTGTCTTTCTAGGTCTCTTTTATGATGACACCCATATATATGTGACAGACCGAAAAGAGAGTTAGGTTCTCAAAGAGCAACAACGAATTCTCAGTGTTACTGGGACCTGGTGTGAGTGCTGGAACGTAAAAATCAATGAAGATAAGACTTGGGCCATCTACTTTTCTCATAGACTTAGGCCCCATGAGGATCATTTTACTTGAATGGAAGGATTATCCCCTTCATCACTCATGTAAAATATATCGGTGTAATCTTAGATAAGAGGACTGCATTGGGACTACACACAGAAATGACTGAAGCCAAGACCTTCAGAATATTTATTAGAATCTACTCCCTATCAAAAGTGAGCGTTTAACATCTTTCATTGTACTAATCCTCCACAAAGCGCTGACTAGATCAGTAATGGATTATGCTTACACCGCATGTGAACTTGCGGCAGACACCTGCATCTTAAAATTGCAGCGCCTGCAAAATAAGTTTCTCTGCACAACTGGAAATTCCCAAAGTTACATGCCGATCAGTGATGTACACACATGGCCTTCAACTTTCCATATGTATACAATTACAAAATAAAATTGTGCAGGCATCAAGCAGAAGTCATACAAAATTATGAGAATGAACATGTTCACAGCATAGGGCAAGTCGAAGCCAGACATGAGAAATATAAGAGGCTTAAACATGATGGAAATCAAGCTTACGAAGGTTCAACTGACTAAGTTGCTGTTGTAACATGAGATAAGACAGGCATGATCTGTTTTGTAAAGTCTGGACTGACAGAGGACTTGTATGTAGGGAATGAGGAAAAATTTTCAGTAAAATGCTATATGTGTGATACGTACGATTGACAAAAGTGACGCCCATTCATAAGAGAAAGGCCCATCCTCTCGTCAGAAATGATGTTACATATGGTCTATGACCGCAAGGGTTCAGTCCAAAAAAAATCCCTGGTCGTGATCCTCAAGAGGCTTAGCACCAAGTTCAACTGTTTGGCGGTAAACCACCAGTAGGAACGGCCACTCTTAGAAGACATTACCCAGCAGCTCGTTGAAGACACAGCAGACTGAGAAGACTTAGTGCGTGCTAGAGTGGACTGTAGAGTGTGTGAATTAGTGAGAGCCCTACAATTACACGTAGTTACAATCTGTAAGAAGTCGTCCAGACTGGCTCTGGGATCCACCCAACCTCCTATTCGATGGGTGTGGGGGACGTGAAGCTGACCACTCACCTCCAGTTAGTAACTAGGTCAAGAAAATGTGGATTATACATCAACTCCCCATACACCTTCATGACGTAGTGCTTGTTACCTTTCACGATCTGTTGAAGAGTTCAATAAATCCAGTCATCAATCCAAATCCCGTCTGTAGTCAATCATATGACAATATATTGTGATGCTAACAAGGAACCATACAGACTGTTGTTTGTTGTTTCCTATTGCAGACATAGTAAAAAAAAATATAATTTTAGACGGAAAATGCATGGCAATTACTTTTTAACAGACAATGACATTACCCAGAATAGAAGTAGCAGCAGTTCCTAGGTAAGAAAGTTTGTTTGCAACTTGGAAGAGCTTAAAAAGAAGGTACAAAAATCTATTCAAAATATTGTCACATGTATGAGTGACTATACGCGGGGTATGGATTGGTAATCAGATTTGTTGAACAATTGCAGATCATAACTACAACTAAGAAACAAACCCTTGATTCAGCTCTTCAGAATCACAGTTTCTCACTTGTTTATAGAGCATGATCACAATATAATTTTTACCCTCGTTATAAATAAATTGAGTGGAACTGAAATTGACTAGTAGATTTAAATATTATTTCTGGAAGCATATCTTGGCATCCTGTTTACAAAGTAGGAGTGCTAATCACGAAGTCATGATGTACAATTTTGGACTGTTATAATTGTTGATTTGTATGTTAATTGTTACAGCACATCCAAATATTCATCTGTTCATGTCACATGCTGGAATGCTTAGTTCACAAGAGGCAATCTATCATGGAGTACCTGTTGTAGGGATACCTTTCTTAGCTGATCAGTTTGTAAATATTGTGAAACTGGCAACACATGGTCTCGGAGTGGAGCTGGTTTATGATACACTGTCAAAACAAACTATTCTTGATGCTGTACATACAGTTCTTGGCAACCACAGGTAAGATCTAGATAAATAATAAAAATTATATCTTTTTCAATGTTTATTTACTTTAATTTATGTAAATTATTTTATTATGACCTCTTTATTACAACCATCACAACACAACAAATATCAAGATCAGTGCCTAGTTTCTGCTCTGCTACATGTTTCTGCTATCATAGCCATCATCAGGCAAATATAAGGTTAATATATATACACCACTGAACTTCAGTACTAGTAAAATTGGATTATATTTTCACGAAACATTTGTTGTAGAAGGTGGTGAGCTAGAATTTTATACATTTCTGTTTTTAAATTATTTTAACTCAACGAGATGATGTTTACTTACATCATTAAAATAAAAATGAGTAATGTTCTTAGCCATGTTAGGTGGGTCCCTTGTCACCACGGCATGGAGCATCCTCAGGTTGCGGATGGAGGAGACCTCCAGGTTTGGTGGGAAGCTGCGAATATATTGAATAAGAAGTCGCGGGCAGCCGACAAGGGGTGGTCCTCCAGCTTGGGGGTTTGGCATGGGGCTAACAACTCCTCACCATAAAAAATTAACTCATGAAAAATTCTCAAAAAGACTCAGACCTGGACGGATTCCTTGGATAAACAACCTAAGCTAAAGAAAATGGATATGAGATTTGGTACTTGGAATGTTCGAAATACGAGTATCTATAGAGCAGGTTTGCTCAGGGCAGTGGTATAAGAAATCTTAAAATATAAGTTAGATTTAGCGGGGTTACAGGAGGTCAGATGGGAAGGAGGTGGCATCGCACCAGCAGGCGAATATACGTTTTTCTATGGAATGGGGAATGAAAATCATGAATTAGGTTCAGGTTTTTTAGTACATAAGAGAATCATATTAGCAGTTAAGAGGGTAGAGTTCGTTAGTGATAGCATATCATGTATAATACTAAAAGGTCGCTGGTATGATATCACTGTTACGAATGTCCATGCCCCAACAGAAGATAAAATTGGTGACATAGAGGATAGGTTCTATGAAGAACTAGAACATGTATTTGATAAATTCCCGAAGTACCCTATGGAAATTTTGTTAGGAGATTTCAATGCCAAAATAGGGAGGGAAGACATTTTCAAACCGATTGGGAATGAGAGTTTGCATGAAATTAGTAATGACAATGGAGTTAGAGTAGTAAACTTTGCCACATCAAAAAGTCTTACTGTCAAAAGTACAATGTTCCCACATCGTAACATCCATCAATTTACTTGGACATCTCATGATGGGAAGATACACAATCAGATCGACCATATTTTGATAGATAGGAGATGGCATTCAATTATACGTGATGTCCAATCATTCAGGGCAGCAGATTGTGATACTGACCACTACCTAGTGGTGGCAAAGGTTAGGGAAAGACTGGCAGTGAGCAAACAAACAACACACAGAGTTCATATGGAGAGGTTCAATCTCAAGAAATTAAATGAAGTAAAGGATAAAGAGCAGTATCATGTTGAAATCACAAATAGGATCGTGGCCATGGAAAACTTGGACATTGAGTTGGATGTTAATAAAGCTTAACAGGAGTTAAAACAAATATAAAATAAAACTCACAAAGCTACACTTTTACCTTTTTTTGTATAGGTGTGAAACATCACGTTTCACATTAACAGAAGGGCATATGCTGAGGGATAAGAGAACGGTCCAGTGAGTATTTCAGTCAATCTATGAGAGAAGTACATAGTAACAGGAGGTTAGAAAAATTCCATAATGAGGAGCTTAATTATTTATGTTCTTCACCACCTAATATCTGGGTGGAATCAAGATTGAGATGGATGACGCAAGTAGTGCACATGTTGCAGTGAGAAATGCATACAAAATTTTAGTCAAAGACAGAGAAAAGAGACCGTTAGTTTGGTCTGAGCATAGACTCAAGGATAATGTTAAAATGGACCTTAAGAAACAAAATATGAGGGTGTGGATTGTATTCATTTGATTCCAGATAGGAACCAATGGCAGATCTAGTCAACACTGTAATGAATCTTTTAGGTTCCATAAAAGGCAGAAAATTGTGTCAGTTGAGCGACTGTTAGCTTCTGCAGCAAGATTCTGCTCCATGGAGATAGTTAGGGGATTATAATTAACCAAAATCAAAATTGGTTATTATCGTTCTGTGTACTCAGTTCCAAATTTAACTGAAACTAATTTTGGAGATGAAATTTTCAGAAAGGTTAACAAAGAAGTATCATGTATGAACTTCATTCGGACAAAGCACAATAAAATAATAACCTTCAAACATAACACACAAATGCTAGATCTGAGGTCCTCAAAGCAATTACTGTGAATATAACTATCTCCTGGTATGTGAATCCATCAAACTGCTAGATCATCACCAACAGTCTACCAGACAGTGATCTTAACAAATAAATGTTTATAGAGATTTGAAACATGTTACAAGACATTTCTGAACTTCCCTCTGACAACTGAAAACATCTGAGCATTTCACCTAACTTCAGTTTGAACGATTTGAATATGTTTCTTAAATAATTCACTGTGTACTGTAGTTACAGAGACAATATGAAGAAATTATCAGCTATATACAGAGACCAGCAAGAGACACCACTGCAGAGGGCTGTGTTTTGGACTGAGTATGTGTTACGGCATGGAGGATCCTCCCTTCGATCTGTCAGTGCTGACTTAACTTGGTATCAATATTTTCTAATAGATGTCATTGCAGTTCTTATTATAGGTATATCTCTGATCTTTGTTTTACTTTATTTGGCTCTAAGAAAAATATACCGAACTGTAGCACCAGTTACAAGAATTACAAAGTCAAAACAGCAGTAAAATATGAACTTTGATTGTAGGTAAAATAGTACTTTTGGAAGAATTAAAATTTATCAAATGTGTACCTGTACATTATTTATACAGTATCTGTATTCATGAAACTTCAGTTTAACATAAGTATGCACGCAAAAATAAAACTACATAAGCAAAACACACCTCTAAGGCCTACAACCAACTGGAAGAATGTGTCAACATATGAAATAGCAAATAAACTAACAAAACACTATATAATTACCTAAATCTACCATACATATACGCGTATAATGTACGCAACTCCAACCACCTTATGATGGAGCTAAAAACCATTGAACTGAATAGTGATACGAACATATGATCTTTCAATATCGCAGATATGTACACAAACATACCAAGAAAATACATCATAAATTTAGTTAAAACCAATAATATTAACACCGAGATCCAATCCAGTATTCAAAATTATATCGTATATATTTTTAAAACAGTGATGGAGCAGAACTACTTCCCATCTAATCAAAAATATTATAAATAGATAGAGGGGTTGGCCATGGGCACCCCAACATCGGCAATATTAGCAGAAACATTCATTCAACATGTGGAACACAAATACGTGTACCTAATCCTAAAAACACAACAAATTATTGCATATTATCATTTAAAGGCCAGACTTTTGAAATGGTGGTAAGCTTGAACTGGCCGGAGTTTATTTAAATGCCCGCTGTTGGTGCGCGTTTAATTGCCTGTTGCTCCTCTCTGTTTAAATGTTCATCCCTGTTAGGGCGCTTAATCAATTTTAAGCACTGTGTTTAAAAATGCTGTATCTAACACAATTTTTTATGGTAAATGGATGGTATTAACTTTGTTTGTATCAGCAAAGAACAGTGTCACACATTATAACATAAGATTTTTTAAATTTTTATACAAAGTTATACTCTTATTTTCATTTTTTCTTTAATTTTGGTGCATGCTGTAAAAATGATTTCACACTTCTTCACAGAGTATATCTGCATTATAAAATCAGTCCTGCTTGTAACACTTGACATATTTTAGCAGTCCCTGGTGTCATAAAACAGATGAAAGCAATAAAATTATCTGGTTCTCTGCTGGCAAATTTTACATCTTTGTTACACTCTTCAGATTTTCGAATGTTTTTACTAAAGGACAGAAGAATGAAAGCATGGCTATTCAAGAGAAAGCTAGAGGGTTCCTTCTTCAGTGCTGAGCTCTTCTGTTGTAGCTGCAAGAGATTGTTGCCCTTTCAATGATCATAAACAGGTAGTTGCATCATGGCTGATATACAGAGTGTGATCTGTTCTCTGTGTTCATAGTGAAATTGAATGCTGTACTTTCATTTCTTTGTACAATGGCCTTGAAATGTCATTTGGAAAATTATGAAATTGAAAGGTAACTGATATTCGATTCTGATTCGGACTGCTGCACAGAAGATGAAGATAATGATTGGTGCTAAGAAGATGTGAATGACGAAGAACTCGTGCAGCCATTGATATCATCACTATCATCACCATAATTGTGGGGACCACCACAACAGCATGGCAGGAGGGGTGCGAATAATTTTTTGGATGGAAGAAGGGGGATAAATCTCAACATAGTTCCACACGTGAATAAGGATTCCACTCCACTCTGCGTGTTCATGTTATTCTTCACAGGAATTATCCATCTGCTGGTGGAAGAGACTAACAGACATTATCACTAGTATCTTGACAGCCTTGAAGAGGGACCTCCTCTAGTCCCTGACATTACCGAATCCAAAATGTTTCTTTTTCTAGGTATCATTATTCAAATGGGCCGTGACATTAGAGATAGAATAAGAGACTACTGGGCAACTGCTGAGCAATTTCTCATGTCTTTCTACACTAAGACATTGAAACACGACCAATTTCTTCACATTCTTCGCTTCCCTCACTTCACAGGGAAGAAAGTAGAAATTACCAGAAAATCTGATAATTATGACCGACTATGGAAAATTCAGACTATTTTTGTCACTCTAAATGACAGATATGAAAAATACTGTAGTCCTTTGGTGCATCTGCCTGTTGAAATAATTGTAAAATTCAAAAGGAGGGTTATTTTTTGACACTTTATTCCTAAGAAACAAACGTTTCGGAGTCAAAATCTTCAAGCTCTGTGATGCAGTAGACTATACATACGGCATGAAGGTTTACTTAGGCACAGACAGGACATGCGCCGACCAAGACGTGACTGCGACGCATGCAACGGTCAGGGACCTCTGCAGAAAGATCGAGGGGGTTGGGCACTAACTGCACATGGGCAATTTTTTTTTTAGCGCCCGAATTGTTTGATGAACCGATGACGAAGAAAATAAGTTGCTGTGGTACAGACAGACCAAGTTGGAAGGACCTGCCACAAGACTTATGCAACAGGAGACTTGGAATGAAGAAAAGAGACATACGGGTTAGGGTGAGGGGTGACATGACAGTATTAGTTTGGAAAGACAAATGAGACATATATATGTTGACTAACATGCACGCTCCTCCAGCAGAAGGCAATTTCTGCGATGAACATATAAATGCCATAAAGCCAGCAATTGTTGCAGATTACAACATGCACATGGGATATGTTGACGAAGCAGACAGGATGACAAACAATTATCCTATCAGCCGTTAGACCTGGAAATGGATGAAGAAACTGTTCTTCCATTTACTGGATCTGACGATTCTGAACAGTTTCATCCTGCTGTCACCCTATGGTGCGAAACTGTCACACAGAGACTTTCGTCTAACCCTTATTTGCAACATGCTGAAACGTACTGCAATGTGTCGCCCTCATCCCTAATGGCCCTTCAGTCGACCTCCTGCTCTTTCATCTACATACACCGCCTAGAGCAGGCCAATCGGTAACACTAGCCAACCCATTCAGACAAGAGAATGAATTGCAGCGTTTGTTCTGCACATGGGAAGAGGAGAAGAATCCACACAAAGTGCAATAGATGTGACATGGGCCTGTGCATTATTGGGTGATTCAAGGAGTGCCACACAAAGGCGAGATTTAGTTAGATGATGCCGGGGGCGGAGCTTACATATACATCAAGCAGATAACAACAAAAAAAGGTATGTACATCGAATTTTACTATATATTTTTAACACATTAATCTGCAGAATCTGCAATAAAATTACTGGCTTGTGTATGAGTTTTACTCAAATCTGTCTGGTAGTTACTACATTTAAAAATACGAGTATATATTTAGGGTGTGCATGCGCTTCTACTAGTGGTGTGTGCGCATGCTTCCACTAGCACCCAACTGCCCAAATCGGGGTACTTTGACCATGACAACCATACTCATCGGGGCACTTCAGATGTTACATTTTATAGATATATAGTCCTTTTGTTATATAGTGCATGTATAGACAACATACATGTAATATATAACAAAAGGAAAACAAATATTGAGAAAACACTTAATGATTTCAACAATATACAACCATCTAGAAAATTTATTATCGAGAAGGAAAGACACGGGAAAATTCATTATCTAGACATTAAAACACACCACAAGAACAAACAATTAGAATTTTCAATATGCAAGAAACCTACTGACAGATATCATAATACCCAATAGTTTATGCCACCTGTATGAACAAAAAGTGTCGGGTATCAAATAGCAATTACATTGATTAAACACATACCCAATAACAAAGAAATCAAAACAAACAAAAATACTATAAGAAACACACTGCAGAATAATGAATACAACACAAATTTACTAGAAAAACCACTATCACACTCATGAAAACAAAACATACACAAAGATCAAAAACATAAAAAAACAAAATGGGCTATATTTACATATTGTGGTAAGGAAGTAAGAGATATGACTAAGCTCTTTAAAGACACACAACTTAAAGTTGCTTTTCACACAAGAAACACAATAATATCAATAATCAATAATAATATTAAATCATTACACACAAACTGATAAATATAATAATAGTGGCATTTATCAGATGAAATGTTTGGATTGCTCACTAAATTATATCAGTCAAACTGGAAGAATGTTCAGAATAAGATATAAATAGCATATTCATGCTATCAAAAATCATAATAGTAAGTTTAACATACAGCCCTTTTATAAAGGAGATAAAAGTGACATATAAATTTATAGATGAATATATATTTTAAGTGCTTTCTCAAAAACTTCCTAAAAGCTGATGTACAATAGGTAATCAGGGTTATCAAGAAATAGTATATCAACAGAAGCCTGAAATGGATTCAGGAAAAAAAGGTGAACTTAGGCAGCAGATACACTCTTTTCTTGAAATCACACAGGATTTTATCACTACTTTAATATAAATATTTCTTATTAACAAAACCTTGTAGGTTAATTCACCAAGTTTTAGTGTCATTTAATGCAATTTATTGTGAGCACCACTGACAGCTCTGCAGACATTGAAACAAAATTCCACTTCACTTCACACAGCACCTCCACAGACACCGTAATGATAGCAACTGTAATCCTTCAATGCAAAAGAAGAAGGGATGACAATATTTTGCTGTACGTCATGTCTCTGATGTACCCCCACAAGAAGTATTTCATTTGTGTTAAGTCAGGATTCAGTGAATTCCAGCCAGTAGGCCCATCACTACATTCAGTGGCACCAAAATGAGGTGATGCACAGTCTTCTTGGTCAATGAGGCTGTCAGCTTTGGCCACTATATCTGGAAACACAAAGCTTCCTACCAATTGTGATGGTGCTTTCGTGGAAGAATAAGGGTTCAACAATTCAGTCTGACATGATGCCACAACACACGTTGACTTAGGGGCTGTTGCAAATATGCTATATAGGGCATGTGGGTTCTCACTGCCCCAAATCCTGAAATTGTGTCAGTTTACAACACCATGTGTGTGGGTAGTGACCTCAGCTAACTTTCCGAACAGAATGCTCTGGAATGCACTGAAATGCTACCCAAATGCACTCAGTGGTGTCTTGTGATTGTGCTTGGCCTACCTGGTGAACGCCCTTGATACCACTTATGAATACACTTATCAGTTGGAACATCTTTTCGATATACCTGCCTAAAGTTTCTTTGAACAATTACCACAGAC